ATATGATTTTCTTTTCTCCTTGTCCTTATTTTACTCCTAAGGATAAGGAGGAGAAGGAAAGTTCTGCAAAACACAGAACTGTTTTTAACGGTCAAGCAGGGTGGAAAAACAGTTCAGGGAGAGAATGAAGGAACAGGAACAAACATGCCAATAAAGCCGAGGAAGGGTGGCTTTGCTTCCTTTTTTTTTTTTTTTTGTTCCTGCTGTAGCTGGATGGAATTTCTTCCTTGGCCTACAGTGGGGAAACCTATTCCTCCACAGATTATAATTCATTCAACCATTATAATTCCCAGCATCAATCACTATTGCCCATGTTAGCTGAGGCTATTGGAGAGGGCAAGTATGCTCAAATTTCTTCCCTGATTGCATCTTAAATCATGCTAAAAGAAAACCTAGAGGAAACTAAGGTTATCAGATATCTGGAGGACATGAACAATTGGAAATAAGAACAAATGGAGAGAAAAAAGTGGGCTTTTCAATTTTCTGGATATCTGCAATAAAAATTACAGCAAAACAGTTATTTAGGCCTCCATGTATATAAAATTACTTTTTTTCCAACATCAGAAAGACCAGTTTTTCAACTATAATATTTTTCTAACCAATCTTAATTTTCAACAACATTATTGTCTAGTAATAATTTAGAACCGACAATACATTTTCAAATTTCACCATAGAAATGTATGGATTGGTCATGAGATCTGCTGACTACAAGTGATCATAGATTTGAAGAGGCTGGATTGAAGCCAATTGAAGAAATCAGTGAACAAATAGTGTAAATGTAGGCTGCCAAGTCTGTTAACAGACAAGGCAAACCAAGAAGCAAACAATGTACATGGTCAAAATACATCAAATTTTGAATGACTACTATTGTGAAAACAAATGTTTTAAAAACCCGAGAGACTCAGAAAGCTAGACAATATTTGATTTTAAGGCTATGCCTGATGGATTGAGGACAAAAAGGAAGATATGCTCTCCTTTCGGCAGACTTCTGGAAACCCTAGGTCCTCTAGCTGGGCTAGCTTTTTGCAATGATTAATTGATGAGGTAATGTCTCTATTACCAACAGATCCCAGAGGGCCTTTGAGCTAGATAGCTTTTATATTACTGTCAAAAGGCATGTGGATAACATAGGTGCTGTATGAAGGCCTTGATCCAGGTTTTAAAAGCCCTCAATTCAAATGCTTGAGAGGTCTCTTCCAAGGCAGCAAGATATGCAGTAAGACAGAAGTGAAAGGTAGAGGTGGTATGACCCCACTTTGAATTCAGTTCAACCTATATTAGCTTTGGACTTACTCACACAGGGCTTTTTCTAACACAGTGGTTTCAACCTGTGGGTCGGGAGCCCATTTGGGGTCAAAGGACCATTTCACGGGGGTCGCCAAACAATGCAGTCTGCCATTCCCCCCCCCCTTTTCCTTAGCTGTGCTACTCTCTTTTATTCTATTGGCTTTTGAAAGCCAATAGAATAGACTCTCTTGAATAGAGTCTAATTCTATTGGCTTTCAAAAGCCAATAGGAATTGTCCAGGCTGTCTCTGCCCTGCTGAGCCCGCCAAAAGTCCCATTCTGCAAATGGTGCTGCACCAGTTAAGTAGTCCTCAACTTACGACCGGTTGAGTAGTCCTCGACTTACGACCGGTTGGGGGTCGCGGCATTAAAAAGGTTGAGAACCACTGTTCTAACAGATGACCTATGAGGGAAGGAGAGTACTGACAGATTAAAAGTTCTTTATTCTGGCATGAGTTTGCTACCCAGGAACAAAGCCCCAATTTCTGTGCATATTTAGTTCAGATGAACTCATCAAATTCAAAGAAGATCCAAAATATGTTCATGATATTGCTAACACTCCCTTGAAATTTACAAAACTATGTGGATAACTAAGGTGACCAACCGTCCTCCTTTAGGGAGGACAGTCCTCCTTTTGTAAGTTCTGTCCTCCCTCAAAAAGTGTCCTCCTACATGTCCTCCTTTTTGATATTTGAAGACTAATCTGCAGGGCTTTTTTTTCCCCCTGATAGAGCGCTCAGAACGGCGTTCTGGCACTTTTTTTGATGGTTTTTTTTTCAACTTTTGCATGAGCTGTGCTACTCCCACTATTGGCTTTCGAAAGCCAATAGGAATTGCTGCTGAGCGTGCCAAAACACCCTGCTGGCAAACTTTGCACATACAAGTTGTCTGTATTATTGTTGCAATGAATACAATGTTTCTTTTATTTACGATATTTTTTTCTTCAATTTGTGTCCTCCTTTTCATTGTAAAAAAGTTGGTCACCTTAGGATAACATTTTAAATAATTGTAAGGACCCACCCCACTCTACATCTTAAGAAGACAGAACTCTTGGAATATCTCTTCCAACAGGCATCTTTATTAAGATAAGATGGTTGCAGGCATTCTAGACAGGATCTGGGGCCCAAGCCCTACCATTCAAGGTTCCCAAGCAGCCCCCCCCCCGTCCTTCCAGCGACAATCCCAGGCGTCACATTTCCACCCTTTTCCTCTCGACCGGCAGAAGGGAGACTTCAGAGAGTAGTAGATGAAAGCTGATGGACCATATTGTTATGGTCAGTCCTCTGGGTGAGATCCACATTCAGTCCCTTTGAAGTTTTAACGAAGGAAGTGAGAGCCATAAAACCCCTTTGCTCATCCCCCTTCCCCTTTGTGGTATGACAGAATCCAGAGAGGACAGAAATGGGGTTTTCCATAGTCGATAACTAGAACTACTAAATTTTTATAGGTATATAATTATCTCAAATTAAGTATTAGTTCTTAATACTTAATTAGTTCTTAGATGAGTGGATAGAAGGGAAACTCATCAAATTTGCAGATGACACCAAGCTGGCAGGAATAGCCAACACCGCAGAAGAAAGGCTCAAGATCCAAAAGGATCTTGACAGACTTGAACACTGGGCCCTATCTAATAAAATGTAACTCAGTGGTGAGAAAAGTAAGGTTTTACACTTAGGCAAGAAAAACCAAATGCACAAGTACAGAATAGGTAGAACCTGACTCTAGCAGTAACTGCGAGAGGGCTCTAGGAGTCCTAGTGGACAAGCACTTAAATATGAGCCAACAATGTGCTGCAGCCCCCCCCCCCAAAAAAGTCAATGCAGTTCTTGGCTGCATTAACGGGTATAAAACCAAGATCATGTGAAGTGTTGGTACCACTGTATAATGTCTTGGTAAGACCAGACTTGGAATATTGCATCCAGTTTTGGTCACAATATAAAAAAATGTTGAGACTCTAGAAAGAGTGCAGAGAAGAGCAACTAAGATGATTAGGGGGCTGGAGGTTAAAGCACATGAAGAACTATTGCAGGAATTGGGTATGTCTAATGTATAATGTCTTGGTAAGACCAGACTTGGAATATTGCATCCAGTTTTGGTCACAATATAAAAAAATGTTGAGACTCTAGAAAGAATGCAGAGAAGAGCAACTAAGATGATTAGGGAGCTGGAGGTTAAAGCATATGAAGAACTATGGCAGGAATTGGGTATGTCTAATGAAAAGGACTAGGAGTGACATGATAGCAGTGTACCAATATTTGAGGGGCTGCCACAAAGAAAAGTGTGTCAACCTATTCAAAGGCAGGACAAGAAGCAATCGATGGAAACTAACCAAAGAGAGAAGCAACCTAGAACTAAGGAGAAAGTTCCTGACAGTCAGAACAATTAAGCAGTGCCTCCAGAAGTTGTGGGTGCTCCATCACTGGAGGCTTTTAAGAAGAGATTGGACAGCCATTTATCTGAAATGTTATAGAATCTCCTGCTTGAGAGAGAGGCTGGACTAGAGGACCTTCGGCATCCTTTCCAACTCTGTTATTCTGTTCTGTTATATTGTTATTCTGTTATTTTTTTCTATGAACATGTATATCGATCCCATCAATTCCAAAGAAAGACTGGAATGGTATAGGATCTCCTGCCATGGCAAGAAGTTGAACTAGATCTCCAAGGTCCCTTCCAGTCCTATTTGTTCTTTGTTCTCTCCTTCCTAGGGACAAGAATTGAAGTTACTCTACAATTAATAGAAGCTATATTTTAAAATCGCAGTCTATCAAAATTATAGCTTCCATTCATGTAGTCAAATTTTTAGGAAAGAAATAACCTACACCTAATACTGCCTTTTATTTTTTCTATAATCTTTTAAAAAGTGGTACAAAACTAAAACAGTATTTCTGTGGGCTTTTTAAAGTCATATGTACATGATACACAAAATCATTGAGGCTACAATAATAACTGAAACATAAAGGAATAAGAGAATAAGACTTTGTTCTAAGAATATCAGAACACAGAAGATGGCCATCTACTTGAAGGGCTTCCAGTCCAAGTCTGATTTTAAATCTAAAGCCCTCCCAGAAAATGGCTTAAGGTGGGCCATTCAGCACCCAGAGAAGATACTGCAATCACCATCTTTTGTGTTGTGGTGAAATATATTGCATTCATATTAATTATTTCTGAAGTTGTACCTGTACATGTTAATTTCCCGGCTGCCCTGCCTATCAGCTGGTATTCCTGAGTGGTATTCCTGTCTTTTGGGGCTAGAGGCGTAGCATTACTTTTACTATTAGAGCAGCCTCTCTCAACATTAGTAACTTTCAGTTGTGTGAACCAACTCCATGAATTCCCTAGCCAGCATGCTGAATGTATGGATTCTGGGAATTGGAAGTCCACACATCTTAAAATTGCGAGAAACACTGATGTTTATGTATGACACATAAACACATATACACACACTGATGGCAATCCACATATACCAAATGGGTGTTCTGTTTATTACGAATCACAATAACAAAACATGGGCAAAAATTAGAGCGGAAGCAGCATTTTTAACTTTGGCATCACTTAACCTCCATTTCCCAGTCTAAAGTGTTCTCTCTTTGCCCAGGAAGAACATGGCTCTCATCCTAGCTTCGCCTGCCAGTACCTTTGACGTCATCCCTCCCGGCTCCCAATCTCTCCCTACCGCTATTACTCTCCCCCCTCACGCTCTCCGCCCCTCCCTCTAAGGCTGCTCCAGATAAAGTCCCCCCCCCACCGCCCCAACCTCCCCTGCGCTCTGCTGCGTCGCCCTCGCTTTCCCCAAGCAAAGATGGAAGTCGTCAATCAGGTAAGCGCTGAGGATTTCAACACCGGGAACAGCTCCCCATAGCCTTCTTAGCCTGCACCCCCACATTGAGATGTTGATCACCTAAGCTGGCTCCCACCCTTCCAATGGCCGCTTCCCCGCTTTAATCCCATCCTGCCTGGATTGAGATTGATTCTAAACATAGCAAGAAGATGCGCCGAGTGCAGCACCATCTGTGCGGTGCAGCGAGACAAGAGCCTCCGTGTTAGAGGAATGGGGTCGGAGGGGGGAGCACGTTTAGTTAGGTGAGCAATCTCCCAAAGTGGGGATGCAGACTAATAGAGCCGCCTGGGAGTTCACGTTACCCACTGCAGCAATTTGCAGGAGCTGCATTGAGCCCATCCTGGGTGGAAGGGAGGGGAGAGGAGAGGAGGCTGTGAAATTGCTGCAGTGAGGCAGCTGGAAATGAGAAATGAGGTTTCCGGAGAAGGCAGGTGCCAAAGCAGATTCAAGAGGATATAGGTAATTAGAGATAAATAGATAGATAGATAGATAGATAGATGGATGGATGGATGGATGGATGGATGGATGGATGGATGATAGAGATTTCTGTTGGGAGAGATGGAGATCATGCATATCCCCCCCCCCCTCCCTGCAACCTTTTCCACTTATAACTTGATACAGAAGCTCTAGATTGTAGCTGACAGACCTAGGTAATGTAGAGGCACTGCAGCGGTCTGCCTGCTGTCACTGCAGCAGACTGGGGAGGAAGTGTGGGTGAGAAGGAAAAGCCGCCAAAATGGCTGGAGTGATGCAATAAAGCTGCGCAATATAAAATAGGCTCCTAGGCTGTATTTAGGGAGCCAAAGGGCAGGGGAGAAGTGAGGGATCTTTGGGGGAGGAAAGAGAAAGCACCACAACAGTAAACAGACGGGGGGGGGGCGGTCGTGATGGCAATCAATATCACTGCACTGAGGTTGGTTGGCAATCCGGTGCATGCAGAAAGTGTCTGCAAGTACTGAAGAGGTGGATGGGCTTAGTCGCAATATCATAACTGGGAATTGGAGAAAGAGGATTGGCAGAGTTGGAGCTGGGCATGTAGAAATTGGGCAAGGTGATGGCAGGGAAGAGAAAACCAGTTTAACTGAATAATACTGAACTCAGATGCATAATTCTCTTCTCCTTGGAGTTCTAACGAATGAATGAATAAATAAATAATGGTGCTTCCTATCAAAAGGAGGGTGGCCAGGCAGGCAATGTAAGTGAACACGGAGGGCAAAAGGGGCAGCCCTTCCCTTTGTGGGGTGCAGCAGATGATGGATGGAAGGGGTGTCTGCATGGCTGCGGAATAACCCCCAGCCAGAGAAAGGAGGAGGGAGAAGAAGAGTGAGATGAGATTTTATTTGATCACGTTTTGAGTGAAGAGAGATGTCAGTAGGTAAAATGGTTTGGTTGGAGAGAGGTAGTTATAGATGCTAGACCAGAGGATATGGAGAGCAGGCAAACTAAGATTTGTCGCTTAGGGGCAGTTTCTAATTCCTGCTCCCTAGAGCAACTGCAGCAAGATGCACCAGGCGGAGGGGACGATTTGCAAGAGGAAGTGATTTTCCCTTGGGAATGAAGGTGGCTTCTAATTTGCTGTCCTGATGGAGGAGCTTCAGTGAAGCAACATTGTTGCACAGGCTGTGGGATTCATATTTCAATGCAGTGGGAGTATTTTTTGAGGATTGACATGAATTTTGTATTATTTTTTTTTCCTTTTTGGATGAAGTATCACTGGAGACCTGAAGTGTCTTGAGGGCAGAGTTCTTTAAACAGATCAGAAAGATGAAAGGGAGAAATATAGATTTTCTTACATGGAATTTTCAGTTGTTCTTTGCATAAGAAGAAGCATTAAGAGAACATCCGGATGTCCACATTAAAGTGTAGTCTGCCAGCCAGTGGAAAAACATCCCATAGCTTGCTGTCCCAATGGCCAAACCCTGTTCAGTCTCACTCAAAAGGCTCATGGATGTCCTTACTGTTTTCATGCAGGACAAGATAAGGAAAGCGATTGATGGATTCTCCGGCTTACATTTCCGTTCTCACTGGGACCACCTGCTAGCAGGAAACCCAGCCACTTACTAATTGTTCTCAGCATAACTGAATTAGTGTAGATGGGGTCCTTTGAATGGCAGGCTGCCTATATTAGGTCAGGTACTCTTGTATCTGTACCTGTATCTGTACCTGTCAGTCAGGCTATTTCAAAAGAGCATTAGACCTGTACGTATAAAGAGCCTGCCTGAGACTGATAAGAACCTCAGAAAGTGCTGGTCAAGAATTAGGCAAGCAAATGCCTCTGCAGCAGCGACATCTCTGGTGTCTCCTACAGTCCAAACTGAAATGGCACTACTGAGCTGCATTCAGTGATGGGGATGGTGGCAGTGGTGCTCGCAGCAGTTCAAAGTGGGTAGGAACTGGGCACATCCCAATTCCTGCTACATCACCAGCTTCCTATTGGTCAAATGTGCTAGGTTGTGTCCATGGCAAAAATTATGGTGGGACAAGAAGGAAAACACAATGTTAAATTTCAAACTGCTGGGGTTGACTTTAAGTTGTCTCTGCTGTGAGCTGGAAGCGAGAGAAAGACAGTGGCATGGGAAAGGCTAGGAGGGCACATTAGTTTCCTAATTACGGGGTTATGAGGAAAAGCCCTAAGGTTCTTGAAGAGAGAAGGGTAGACTTGGGAATATTCCAGAGAAGATTTGTCACATTACATTTCTTCCTGCTCAGTTGTAAGGTGAGATTATTCAAAAGTAAGTCTCCTTGGGTTATAAGGAAGCTTAGGACTGCAGACTCACTCAGTCCTTGTTTCTTCCCTTGGATCTTACAGGAAGAAGGGAAAAAAACCATGATTAAAAATATGAGAGGGCTTCTGGTGATGATGTTTCCATCCAATCCCAATGGGTGTTTGATCAACAAATGGTCATTTATTTAGCTTTTGTGCGCTTCAGGACAAAATATATTTGATTCTGTTGGTTTTTAACACTTTCTCTCTTTTTCAGTTGAAGGTAATGTTTGTATATTTTATACATTTTATATTTTTTAGGTGTGGAGCTGTCCATTTCTTCTAGAACAGATCAAATTATAAATGCAAATCAGTCAACTTCCTCCGAGAGGGGATGTTGTTGCTGCTACGAACGCTTTTGAACATCCTGGCTTTTTCAGTGCCGATAAGTGAATTATCTCGAGGCATGTTTTCATGCAAGGCAGGAGATGCTGGGAAACAGAATTAGTGCAAGCTGCTTGGGAACAAGATAAGAGATTTTGCTGTATTGCCTGCAGGATAGTTCAGCTATTGGATGGTGTGCATAGGCAGTGGTATCACATTGCCTCTGTGGGGCTATACAAGCCAGAGATGTGTGTGTCATAAGAGAGCAGGGCTTTCAGTTGTACATCAGTGCAAGATGGACAAATGTGGGACAAAAGGGATGTGGGATCATCTAGAATGGTGGAAAACTGTGGAGTGGTTTGCAGTACAGGCAGATGTACCTACTCATAGATGTGTACAAAGGAAGGATCTGTGTTGCTGATGCGCCTTGGGCAGCCCTGTGTCAGAGTGCACCAGTGAATATAATGACTATCATACCAGTCATAAGACATATTTTTGGCATATATCATGAAACCAAGGATACCATGGGGATAACAACATCTAGTGTATTAACTTTACTGAGCTAATCTATATGATTAGCTATACGAAGCAGCTTTGATTCTTAAAAATGCTACATATTTATATAAAGATGGGAGATTTCAGCCTTCAGAAAACTGCAGAATTCATGTGCACAACACATGAGAGATGTATGAGCCTTTTAAGGTGTCTGATACATTTTTCCTTTGTCGAGTTTGCTGCCTGTAGTATAGGAACAGATGTATCTAAGAAAAGTTATGTTAGATCACCTTTGACCTCTTTCTAGGGGGGAATTTCTAAGTTATAGTTGCTGTGAACAGTGTTGAAATATTTTTCCTTTTCTTCACTATCCCTCCTTGCTATGGTTTTATCAGCTCTCATTATGTTTTGGAATTGTTTTTTTTTTTTTGTTGAAAACATATTTGAGCCAACACATTTTTTAAGAGCAAAAGAGCAGCCCAGACAATTAAACAAAAATGCCATTTAACTTACCTTATGTAAATCACATTGTATAGGATTGGTTGAGTATTGGTTACAAGGGGAGGTAAAGTAAATCCAATTAGAACTTTCTTCCACTTGGCATCCTCTGGATGTGTTGGAACTGGAACTGCCAGAATTCCAGAAATTCTAACATATCCAGAAAATGTCAGGTTGGGGAAGCCTGACTTAGCTGGACACTTTTGAAAGACACTCTGTGCCATTTCCCTGTGTGATTCCAAGGCTATTCTCTTTTGTTGTAGCAGTTAGAAAAAACAAACTGAATAAATGATTCTGAGAAGTCTGGCAGAGAGCTTCCAACTACAGCTTCTGTTCTTTAGCCTGTTTGCTTTGCTTGAACATGTTTGCTGGACCCCAACCGATTTAAGCAGTGGGAGGGGGGAAAAAACTTCGCTTCTCTGAATGAGACAAATGGAGACAGGACAAAGGCTGGAGCTTCATGGCCATACCTATCCTTGGTACTCATTAGTTTCCAGATTCACCTTTGGCTTATTCAGCTGAAAGATGTCAAAGGCCTGTGACCTTGGACCAGTACAGGTTTCTGCTTAACGCAGCATCTTAGATGCATATATTCCACAGATTTCTAAACCAAATTTCCTTTCTCTTTTCACAGCTTGTGGCGGTTGGACAGTTCCGGATCCTCAAGGAGCCCCTGGGTTTTTTAAAGTTGCTAGAATGGGTGAGTCCACCATACCAGCACCCTTACAACTCAAGAGGAGTCTGTTTAACTCCTGCCTTCATCCTGCTTAGAATTAAGACAGGTGCTCCAAAGGACAGTGTTTGCTTGTTCCTTCTCCCAAAGTTGCCTCTACCTTTTAAAGGTGGAGAAGGTTTGTCTTCTTTGGCATCTGGCCAGTTATATTCTGCTCCTGAGCCCTGGCTGAGCTCCAGCTGCATGTTAAGTCAGGACTAGGGCCGAGAGAGAAGCTCCTGAGTGCTATTCCCAGCAGGATTTTACTGTTTACCATTGGACGGTCTCACATGTAGATGAAGTGTCTCACTGCCCCCTGTGCTATCTCCAGAATTACTGGGGTGGCCAACCATTCCTAGCCTAGACCTTACAGTAATGGATTGGGACACAGCCTGTTTGCTGAAGCAAACTAGGCAGGCTATTCTTCCAATCAGCTGGAAATTCTCCCCATTACAACCACTGTGACCATAGCAACCTAGCAGGATGGAGGACAGGGAAAGAGGGAGAAAGTGTTATGATACTGTATTGCTGGGATTTGCTAATGGTGACGCCAAATCAGAAGGAATGGTGCAAAAGAGAGACTCCCCCCCCCTACTCCGATAGTAAACTGGCCAAGAAGGATATTCTGTAGGAACAGAGAAGTCCAAGCTACATTCAACCTGAGAGGCCGTATGCACTTTCTGAGGCAGTAACCTATCTATCTATCTATCTATCTATCTATCTATCTATCTATCTATCTATCTATCTATCTATCTATCTATCTATCTACCTATCTACCTACCTACCTACCTACATCTATCTATCTATCTATCTATCTATCTATCTATCTATCTATCTATCTATCTATCTGTTTATCTATTTATCTCTCTCTCTCTATCATCTCTATCTCTGTCTGTTTGTCTGTTTGTCTGTCTCTTCTATCTATTATCTATTATCTAATTTAAATGTATTCTGGCAATTAGATAATTGGGAAAGTTAGTAAGATAAAATAGATGGGCCAACCTGCACGGAGAGTTTCTCACACAACGCTCATGGAAATAAATATCACACAGCAGTTAAGAACTTACTGACCTTGAGTTCTTGCTGAATTAATTGTTTTTGTAGATGATGATACAGTATTAAAATGTGCTATTCAGGTGCCATCATGTCACCTGTTACAGAAACTAGAGAAAATGCTTGAAACTATGGCTGCTGACTAAAAGGTTGAATCTGCAACTTTCCTATCCTGTCCACCTATTTGACCATTGCTTCCCAAATAAATTCTCATACACAGTTAAGCCAGACTGAAACTAGTTACTACTTGGAAAAGAGGCCAGGCTGAAACTAGTTACTACTTGGAAAAGAAATCTAAAAAAGAGCAATGCAAGCCACTTCCATTTTGCTGCCAAGAAAACTGTACAGTGTGGATATGACTATGCAGACATCAGGAATTGAACACCACTTGAGGAAGCTTTTCCAATTGTTTCCCAGTCATAGTCTGATACTCTATTACAGTGATGACGAACCTTTTAGAGACCAAGTGCCCCAAAACTGGCCCTGCCCCGCTCCCACTTCGCTGTCACCCCGCCTGCCCGCAGGGCCACTCACCGCTTCCAGGGCCCACCGCTGATTGCCCAGCAGCACCATGGCAGCCACGCCCTCTGCCCACGCCCCGCAGCACCAACTGTGCACAAAGGGGCGTGAGGGCAGAGTCTTGTCTATTCTGGCTGCCATGTCTTTGGCTGCACTGCTCTGCGTGGGGGTGACTCTCAGGGGTGACTCTCCTCCAGGGGCCCTGCTGGTGAGGTCACGGGGGAGGCAAGGCTGGGGCAACGGCATGTGTGCCCACAGAGAGGGCTCCAAGTGCCGCCTCTGGCACCCGTGCCATAGGTTCGCCACCACTGCTCTATTATATCACTTTAGACCTCGTTACAAATCCAGTTACCTGAATGAATGCATATTAAGCAGTAATCATAAGAGCCAGGGTTGTATAGCAGTTAAAATGGTAGGATTGGAAAGACTCAGATCTAGTCTAACTTCAGGCAAAGAACCTCCTTGATTGACTTCAGATCACTTTCTCTCACAGAGTTGTTGTTAGGAAGAGAAATGGGAGAAGATCATATATATACCACCTTGCAGAAAAGTAGATGTAACTATAACAAATGAATAAATGTCAACATAGCATAAATCTGAGAGTCAACTGGAGTTGGAAAAAGTAATGCTGTACATTAGAAGTTAAAGTGACGATTCTGGACCATAATAATTAAAACAGAATAAGAGAATAATAGGCAAACAAGCCAGTAGTTTCAAACATCTTTTTGGCCATAATGATGGCAACACCAATTTTTCCTTTCACTCAATTCTGTTGTAAGAAGCAGCAAGTATTTTAGACCACACACAATGAAATCTAAAATCAAAACAGCCTTTAGAAAAATCAGGAGCAATCAGGGAGCTTTGGAGCTTGAGATGGAAAATTTTGATGTTTCCCTTAATTAACTGAGAGCACACTCTATAGGGAATCCTCCTGTTTTATTGCTATGTTGATAGCTATATTAGAACACAATAAGAACTGGAATGAGTACAGGAACATTGGTTGGTGCCAGAATAAATATCTTCTCTATATCTCTCTGTGCCTCTGAAATCTGGTAAATGGGGTTTAGGCCTTGTTAGTATTCAAATTAGAAAGCTCGAGGAATGCCCAGGGCAGCAGGCTAGAGTGAAAAATTAAAACACTGTAAGCAGCACCAATTCACTTCTGTATTGCTGCCTCCAGTCACAATGAGTCAATTTGATTTGGAGAAGAACTTATCTTTTTATTTTATGCTACTGTATGGTATCATCACAAGTTATTAAATCAAAATATCAGTGAAAACTAACACTGAAGTAAGTCCAGCTGAAATTCAGAATTACAGCCTTTACCTGAAATATTAAGACAGTCCAGTTATTTTTTTTATAAAGTATAGGTTGACCTCCAAGAATGTAGCATAACACTTAATACTCAGTTAAACAAAACACACACAAAATAAAAAACAATATCCAGTTTAAAAAAATCTTGAGTTTGGATGATTGAAGAGAAAGGAAGGACAAAAAAGAGTGTTCTAGATAAAGGGGCAAGGGGAGAGTCAAAATGAGGAGCTTTAGAATCTCCCCTCCATCATACATGGGCTGTACTATCTCAGCTAACCATTGGATGGCAGCCAAGAGTTAAACTTCTTATGGTCTCATTGCTGTCATCTAATGACCGAGTAGATCTTTGCAGCTCAGGTATCGGTGGTTTACTTTTCACCTTCCTCTCCCCTGAAACCCCAGTAGCTAAGTACATTAAATAGCTTTCTCCCTACTACCTTCTCAATAAATTAGGCTACAGTTCTCATAGTGCCTGGCACTTATGGGCATTGTGTTCCAATATATCTGGAGAGCTCCAGGCTGATGAAAATTGCTTTGTACAATTATTTTGGCATTAAACTTAACCTAATTATTTCAATTCCTGTGCAAGAACATACCCATTATGAACATTTTTTTTGGTACCATCAATAACTCACACACACAAAATGGAAAATTTATGAACAAAATTTTGAACAGGGAAGCTATTGAGTGATTCTTCACCATACCAAAACTGAAAGCAACCACTTTATGCCTTGGAGTTTTTCCTCCTAATGAAAATAAATTTTAAAAAAAAACCTACAGACAGTGGCACTTTATCCCTGCTGTTGTTAACATTTCTGCTCACACATGCTGATTAAAACAAAGAGGAGAAAGAGAAGACTGGAAGGAAAATCTGAATGCTGTTTGCTTAATAGGAATCTAAGTGAATAATAGGATGGGACATAATCACCAATATAAGACCCTTGTGATTGAATCCATCTTGGATTTTGAAAGCTGAAAGATATGATCCCAAATGACCTTGGGATATCATTTCCTGGGAAATTATGGAAGTCAAATATTCCCTACTGGGTAGAGCAGAGGTCAGGAATGGTGGATCCAAAGGGCCACTGTTCCCCACCCCTGGGATAGATTCCAGCCTTTGGGGCCAGTGGATATATTTGGATATGCAGGTATTTTGGGAACAATGGTTACCATGGGAGATATGGCCAGATCCAAACACTTGTATCTATTAAAAATCAAATAAAGAACTTGCCTGCAGCCCTACTCGCCATCCCATTTTCTAAGAATGCCTCTGACATTGAAAATACAGCTTATGCTTAAGGCATGCTTTGCTCTGCAAAATACAGGCTTCCTATTTTGAAAAAAAAAAGGTAATGGATTTTTAAAAATAACAATAAAAATAAAAGTTAAATGTAATAACTTGTTGGCCTCAAAGAAATACGTTGTGCAGACTGTTGCCCCCTGGACATCTTATGGAACGTGGAGTAAATAGACACAAGGATGGATCAGGACTAAACCCTTCTTCCAGCATAGCCTGCAGCATACCAAGGCCTCAAAGCCGGTTTCCTCTGGTTGTTCTCTCTTAGATGCATATCCTGGCCTCAGAGGCTTTAAATAAATCCTAAATCCCTTTATCTGTCAGGTTCACCAGCATTTCTTAATCCACTTTTTATTATGTATTTTGCAAAGACTAGTCTGGAACTACATTTGCACTGTGATTTGTGAAGTGCTCTGAAGTCCTGCCTCTGGAGACCCCAGCAGATTTCTCTCTGTATCTCCAGAGCTTTCCACAGAGAAGGGGATCGGCCTTTGGAACAGATTTGTTCTCCGATCAAAAAGGCTCCATTTTGTTTCCTTGCTTTGCTATTTTGCACCGGTGCACCCCACATTTTCCTGGGTAAAGCTTTCCGCAGCACTTACAAACTCAGGAGTTGTGGGTCGTGACTGTGACTACCAAGCTGTTTTTCCTAGCCAGCCTCACAGTTGTTTGTAGTGGGGCGTATTAGAGAAAAAGGTTGACATTACCACTTTCAAATGGCACAGTCTTCCATTTGTGCCCCAAATTTGGGTTGTCAGCTTAGTTGAAATTATCCCCAAGTTAGTGAACTTGAACTACCTCGATACAGGAGCTTCACACCAAGCCACACAAATAGCTTAGAAACCCAGGGATGCACACCTGCAGACAAAAAAAAAAGACGAATATTATCTGCATTATCGTGAACCAGTTTGTCCTCATTTGTATTTATTTGTCTATGAAACCTCCAGTAAACTCATTGTGTCGCAAGGGCTCTTCTGCCCTATCGGTATTCCAAGGGCAACATGTTATCCCCAGCACAAAACCATCTGAGGGAAGGAAATTCTGGTGGGGGGGTGATTTTAAGTCAGATTAGTGAGAATTGCGCCCATTCAATAGACATCGAATGCCATACAATGGAATGGAGAATCCAGGAGAAACAACCGCAGCCAGCTGGCTGGAAGCCTGAATAGCATGCTGTTCCTTTTTATTGCAGTTCGCCCTTGCCCTCTGCCTTTGGACACCATTTCATTAAAGGGATTTAAGCTCCTCACAATCTAATTCATAGCGGCATAATTTAAAAGCCTCCCAGTAGCAATCAACGTATAGCAGGTCTTTAAAGCAGGGATCTCTGCTGGCTCTTCTGCTCTGTGGGCTGAGCCCAGGCAGGGAATGGTGACCCCCTGGGTGGTAGACAGCAAACTGGGTCAGGGCTGGGTTAATATCTGGTCCCTCCCTGATTAGATGCTGGGAGGAAGAGATTAAGAGAGGGATAAGGCCCGCTCTCTCCTACCCTCATTCTCCAGCTCTTCCTATGGCAAATTTTGCTCTAAAAATATCTATGACCACACAGTAATTTCTCAGCTGATCCATGATGACAGTAAACCAAATGCCTCCTGCCCCCAACACTCCCCCCACCCCATCCTGAGCAAAGGCTAAGATGATCCCTTCCTTTGCTGGTTTTGTTCCTAGAGTGCCCCCTGCTGGCTCAAGTGAGCCCAATAGCATTTACATTTCTCCCCCCCCCCTCCCTCCGTCTGCCCTATTGCTGGGGAAGACTGAAATAGCCCTGTGACTCATATGGGTGCAGGCACTGCTCATTATTGAGAAGTTGCCTTGCTAGAAATGGAGATGCGTTGGCATCAGCCGAGAGAAAGGGCCACATATGAGAAAAGATGTGTTTTGTAGAGAGGTAGAATCTTTTGAAACTGCATTGGGGTCATAAATATTTCCACAAAAGTGGCACAAGGTTCAGGAGAGTACGGTCTCACATGCCTCAATTCAAACGCACTTCAAATTGGCTTAGAGAAATGGGTGCTTAATGCCTACTAATTTTCTTTTCAAGTTCCTAGTTCTCATTGAGGTAGGAAATCTGCAACTGGCTTGTACCTTTTACAACTGGGTGGTGCCATATTAGGCAACTCCTGTACACCAAAAACTCTCATATGTTTAGCAGCAGAAGCTGTATAACAAAGGATGAAAAAAAAGGGGTGATATTAAATTCTTCTGAATTCTACAAACTCTAACCTTGGATTATGATTCATTTCTAATCATGTAAAAACTTATAACTAGCTTAACATGTATTTCTTCTCTCTCAACCTGGGAATCCCCATGTTTAGAGTGGAAGTAGTAAGATAAGAGACCTCTACTTCATAGGAGACTAACATTTTTTAATGCTTTAAATATTCGTCACATTTAACAGACAAAAATAAAGCAATGATATATAATAAAATATAGTGATTAAAATTATGTAAAAATCTTCAAAGAAAAAAATTACATCTTATTAGGATGAATCCACAACTACTGTAGTCCTTTCATATATTATTAAACCTACACTATATAGCCTTCACCAAATTAAAATTCCCAGACTCCTTCATTGGAATCTATAGTTTTTTTTAATTGTATAAATTTGATGGATGTTTGCAATATGCTGGTAGTAGAGCAACTGCCTGTAACTTTCCAGTGTTGTTTTTTTTTTTAACTAAACTGAAATAATTGTTCAAAATGTGGTCCTTTTAAAATGAAAATTCAAATTAGATGCTAATCCTTATTGCGGGGATAAAGTAGTTTGAGGGGATTCTGACTACTGAAAAAAGAATTATAGAAAAAAAGATTAAATACCCTCCACTCTTGTTTGGAGATTGCTAAATCTGTTTCTTTTCTTTCTATTTTTTAAAGGCTTGTTTGGGAAAAATATTACATACAATTTTCATTATAATGGTTTGTCCTTCAGATATTTGAGTTAGTCAACCCAGCTGATTGTTTTTTTAAAAAAAATCATACTAAATAACTAAAATATTTAAATATACAATAGTAAAAAAAAATGATTGTATCTAAGAGCAATTTCACCATTTTCACCACCCAAATTCTTGCAAGCAAAACATCTCAGGACATTTTATCCTCCCCCCCCCAGTGCCCTTCTATGTCATGAGCTACAGTATTTATGGACTGTTCAGTTGACCAATCATGGAGGATAAACGCCCGCAGCCAATCCATGTCCCTGCCATGTCTATCCGTCCGTCCGTCCATCCATCTATCTATCATCTATCTATCATTATCTAACTAACAAAAGCTCATAAAACATGAATTCATTTTAACCCATCACTCTAAGGAGCCAGGATAAGATACCAATGAAAAGCCATCAACTTCCAGCCTCCAGCATTTTAATTACATCACTGGGAAATATTTCTTCTATGCTGCTGGGCCAGAAATTAATTGGCATGTTTGTGGGAAATGTCTTTAAAATATTTGGGTGGCAGGGAACTCAACCCCACAAATATTTAATCTTGCAGATATAATTAGCACTACAGTAATGACATCTTATAAAATTAACGTATTCTATATAAAAAGAGGTGTTTAAAAATTGAAATTTAATATTTAAAGAGAAAATATTTCATAAAAAGTCAACACAATGAAAAAAAGTCAACTATATTTTTGAAAACCTTCCATTAAGTTATTTTCAGGAAACTTCAGTTCTCTAATGTAGCAAATAACTTCCATTGCAATTTTTTTCCAGGAATGTATATAAATGTAAATAACCTTGAAATCTGTACCATTTTGTACTATCTCCAGCCTTTTTGCTTGCCTGCTGCCACACTTCTGATATGTAGCACAAGACATGGGATTGTTGCTGAGTAGATTTCCAGATTTCCTGTGAATATCATTCAAATTTGCTCTCCTTTCCTTTTTCTCTCCAGTTCTTTTCCATTTTTGCATTTGCGACGTGTGGCAGCTACAGTGGACAATTCCGCCTCAGCGTCAATTGTCCCAAGAAGAATGAGAGCAAACTCAATATAGAGGTGGAATTCGCCTACCCCTTCCGGTGAGTTAAGACTTAGTTGGGGCTGTTCAGTGAAGAAACTGTAAGGAAACTGCTGGTGGGCAAAAATATATAGCCAAGATGCTGTTTATGGACAAGAACACAGCACATTCCAGAAATAAGAAAGCTACCAACCAGTGGCCTACACTTCTTGTTTTGATGGTTTATGTCCAACACCTGGTAGAACTTTGGGATTCACAAAATACCAATCAGGATCAAATTAGGTTACTACGTGGAAAACCATCAATGAATGTTTGTAGGCAAGACTGGAAAGCCAACAAATATCCAAGAGGAAAGGAATGACAAACCACTACTTATTGCTGCCAAGAAAACAATAGGACACTGGAAGTGGGGTCAATACAAAGGGAATGTTATCTTTTTTGAATAACAGACAGAAGACATATTTGAACTCTTAATATACATGTGGATGGGTGGTGGAAAGAGGCATGTTCATATGCATGTCTGTGTGTGTGTGTGTGTGTCTGTGTGTGTGTACTTTTCTAATAGTCATGCAGAGAATTCCAAGGAGTCCATTAGCAGAGCATATGGTAATGGACCTCCACAATTATTAATCCTTAACTTGTTGCATTGAGGACTATACTTACCCTGAGCTTTGAAGATCCATCATCATGGCTAATAGCGACTGCGGCCATGAAGTAAATTCCATTACGAATGTGGCTAATCATTTTTTCATAATCAGGGTCTAATCCAGTGCCAGTAATCCTCATGCTTTTATTTCTCTTGAAACTAGTTCTTAAGAAGAACGTGATTCTGATTCAGGGTAACCAATGTTCACCCATACTGGCTGCCTTTCTTCTGTGAATTCCTGTTACAGATTCTTTTCTCTCTTCTCCAGGCTTCACCAGGTGTATTTTGATGCTCCTACCTGTAAAGGTGAACAAGAAAAGGTTTTCTTGATTGGAGACTACTCTTCCTCTGCTGAATTCTTCGTCACCATTGCAGTCTTCGCCTTCCTTTATTCTTTAGCTGCGACTATTGTCTACATCTTCATGCAGGATAAATATAGGGAGAACAACAAAGGTCCCATGGTTGTGAGTACAGTTATAGGATGATAGGATTGCACAAGCCATTTAAACACACATGTCATACTTGATACTAGCACCCTTTGAATTAACCTTAGCAGGAATAGTTGCTTCAAAAGAGGACATCTAGAATGACAAACAGGCATTTGGAAAACCTTCCAAATTCTTTGGGAAGGGTCAAATGTTGGCCTCCATTAAATAATAACTTTACATTCAGGTTCTCCATGCCCCACCTGATTGAATAAACAGTGCCTTTTGAGTGCCCTGTTTTGTGCACCAAAATATTAGATGTTCATTAGGAACAGGAAGTTAATTGATGATAGCAGAAGTATGTTGAACAAAATAAATATTAAATGATGGATTCTTTATTTTGAATCCTGCCATAATACTATAGTCTAGCACGGGGGTCCTCAACCTTGGCAGCTTTAAGACTTGTGGACTTCAACTTCCAGAATTCCTCAACCAGGACCCCTGGTCTAGCATATTACAGGTAATCCTTGACTTACAACCAAAATTGAGCCCAAAATTTCTATTGCTAAGCAAGACATTTGTTAAGTGAATTTGCCCCATTTTACGACCTTTCTTGCTACAGTTGTTAAATGAATCCCTGCAGTTATTAAGTTAGTAACATGGTTGTTAAGTGAATCTGCCTTCCCCATCAGTAGGTTGCAAAAGATGATCACATGATCCCAGGATACTGCAACTGTCATAAATATGAATCAGTTGCCAAACATTTTGAATTTTAATCACATGACCCATGGGGGATGCTGCAACAGTTGTAAGTGTGGAAAATGGTCATAAGTCATTTTTTTCTGTGCCATTGTAACTTCCCATGGTCATTAAACCAACTGCTGTAAGTTGAGTACTACCTGTATATTTTTATCCCATTGCTGACCCATTGCAAGCACTAGTGTCAGATGGAGGCTCCTCCAAGGTTTGAGAAACTAATTTTTACTTACCACCGGGGTCTATTATTTCAAAACAGTGTCTTATCTAAGGCCGTCTAATGATCTTCCAGGTGAGGTGAGATTTAAATAATCAGTTAGCCAATTTAAAATCTTGAGCTTGAGTGACAGACCTGACATGGCCATTGAGTTGCTGAACCTTCACTCTCATCCTACAGAGCTACAGATTTTCGCCATTATCGCAAAAATCTTCTGCCTATGCTGAATTAAGGTTAGGGTTGCTGGGAAGGCATGGCAGGACCTAGGTTCTGGATTTCAAGAGAGGCTTATGATATTCACTGACAAGATCTCCAGAAGTTTATTCTTCTTCACACATTGGGTAATCGTTCCTGTAATCTCACTGGGCTTGTTTCTTCTTGCTGCAGGATTTCATTGTCACAGCTATTTTTGTGTTCATGTGGTTGGTGAGCTCTTGCGCTTGGGCCAAAGGGCTTTCAGATGTCAAGGAGGCCACTGACCCTGATAATGTGATAGAAGGCATGTCCGTGTGTGAGGACCCAGAGGTCAAATGCAAGGAAGAATATGAGCCCATCACTTCTGGCCTCAACACCTCAGTGGTAGGTCCTCCAGCTTACTATCATAAGAATATGATAGGGTTTTCATATAGGGTCTATTCCTGGGGGCTGAACATATATTTTATAGTTGGGTTTCTTAGCTTTATTTGACTATAGCTTTGCAGTGTATGTTTTTGGTTTGTGTCTGTTTCCATGTGGGTCTGTTTTCTATATTTTCGAAGACTTCATTTGTACTTCTGCCTTTCAGTTCATGAACTCTGTACCAGAATGAGTTTGTTGTTTATGTGGATATGTTGGTGTTTTGTGCATCTTTAGCTGTTGGCTTGTAAAGGTTCCTGTGTGTCTGAACTTGGGGTGATGTCTGCAGCAAGACATATGCGTAACTACTGGTAGGTGTCTTACAATGAGCCATTTTCAAGGGAATAACCTTAATTGTTGTGCTACACAAGTGTCACATTACCATTTGCTGGCCTAAAACAGATCTACTTGTGATCAAATAAATCTCACAGTTCTGTTGTCTGACTCATAGCCAGACATAATCCTTTTGTTTCGGAATGCTATTAGATAAATTTTAATTGTGCAATCCACCCTGCCTCTTCCTTTGAATTTTGTGAGAGGCTCCAGGTGAGATTATCTCCTGTTTATAGTCCTCTTGTATTTTCTTATCACTTCTTTTATCCTTCTTCATACGCACATATGCAGACGGCCATTAAGAAGGAAACACTCGTTCCACAGGACAGAATAAGTGGCTCCTCTCTTGAACTATTCCTCAAGCTGATTTTTAGAATGCCAGTTTTGTTTTTGCCTATATAGCTGCCCTATCTTGATTGTAAAACTGCTGCATTTTGTTTGCATAGCTATCTGTGACTAAGCACTAATGACTAAGCAGAACTGCACAGCTCAATCAAGTGAGATTTTTAAATTTGTTGTTGCAACCAGAGAACTTTTGAGGTCCTAGGGAGCGTCTCAGAGGTTTTCCAATGAGATTAATGAAGATTAGTTTAAAACATAATTTTATAAAAACTTAAAAAACATTAAAATTGACATTTTGTACAAAAGTGCTAATTGTTATGTAATATTACATAGAAACTACAGGGCAATGTAAGCATTGCATAAAAGACTATAAGCTTTTAAAAAGAAACCTAACCCATATGATCAGAAAAAAATGAAAAAGACCTGATACTAATTTATGTGAGGTGGGGTGAAGAAACTAGGGTAATGGAAAAATTTGTAATTTATTGTTTGTGAGTCGAGTTGTAAGTTTGGAACTATCCCTGTCCAGATGCTTGTATTATACAACATTGTTTGTTTCTTTGTTTTATAGGGGAAATGACATTATTTGAGATTGGGGAAAGGGATATGGTAATTGCGCCAGTTTAAGTACTGTCTTATCCACTAAAAATCATGACCTACGCCTGCACTTAGATAAGAAGAGAGGGTGATGTTGTTTAAATGGATGATCCCAGCATTTTTTAATATTTTTTTTTAGTGATCTGTGGTTGCAGAAACTTTGAAAAAGATATAGATATAAGCTAATTCAGAATGAGGACTTTCCTTTGCAGTTCTTCAGTCTTGCATCTTTCCCCAAAATACTATAAGAAAGAAAAATTGGCTAGATGCACAATTGCTAGTTGCCTTTGTAGTGCTTTACTGCAGTCTCTGTTCTCAGTGTGCAAGGGGGCACAACAGCTCCAGAGAATAAGAGAGTTGGACGGGGCCATTTAGACCATTAAGTGTTTTTTTTTTAACTTCTTAAATTAAATTAAAATTAAAAGAGATTGAGACTTAGCTTTAAGGCACTGTTTCTCCTGGTCCTATCAGCCAAGGACTATCAGGTGGTGGGGACCAAGAAACATGCCTTCTCTACCCTATTATAACCCCTGCCCTCTGGAATAGCCTCCCTAAAATTAGGATGGGCCTGACCCTGTTGGCCTTTCAGAAGGCCTATGTGCCTCAGGCTACGTGCCTGAGCCTGGGGTTCCAAGTCTATGAAGGCCCCTGTTTCCTGGTTATATTGACACTGATTATAATATTTCTTGGCTGCTTTTCGTGTTTAACTTCTTCTTTTGTACTGCATTTTAACTGTTTTTATGATTGTTTGCTGCTCAGAGTCACTGGTTTGAGATGGGCTTCTATACATAATAAATAAAGAAGCAAGCAAACAAGTAAATAGCCTTCCTGTAATGGAAAGTCATTATTTTCCATCTGTGGGATAATAAAGGACAAGTCATGACAATTTTCAGTATGATGCATGGCTCCCCACAGTTATTTTTCCTCAAGAAAAAAACATACGGTACTCACTTCATTCCATCTATTCCAGTACTGTTTTCTATTCCTTGGATAGTTTAGAATAGAATAGAGCTGGAAGGGAGCTTGGAGGTCTTCCAGTCCAGCCCCCTGCTCATTTCAGACAAGTGACTGTCTAGCCCAGGGGTAGGCAAGCTTGGCTCTTTTATGACTCGTGGACTTCAACTCCCAGAATTCCTGAGCCAGTAGCTGAGTTTCCTCAGCTTGGAAACCTCTCCTTTCCCCCTCAGCACGGCTGGCTCAGGAATTCTGGGAATTGAAGTCCACGAGTCATAAAAGAGCCAAGGTTGCCTACCCCTGGTCTAGCCTCTTCTTTAAAACCTCCAAGGATGGAGTTCCCACGATTATTGAGGGCAAGCTGTTGTCCTCACTGTTAGGAATTCCAAATTGCTTCTCTCTTTGATCAGTTTCCAACCATTGTTTCCTGTCCTGCCCTCTGGTGCTTTGGAGAATAATTTGACTCCCTCTTCTTTGAGGCAGCCCCTCAAATACTGGAATACTGCTATCATGTCACCCCTGTTTTTTCTTTTCTTTAGACTAGCCAAACCCAAGTCCTGCAGCCGTTCTTCGTATGTTTTAGTCCCCAGGCCTTTGATCATTTTAATTGCTCTTCTCTGAACTTTTTCCAAAGTCTCAACATTTTTTTTGTAGTATGGTGACCAAAATTGGGTTCAGTATTCCAGGTGTGATCTTACTAGGGTTTTATAAAGCGCTACTAATATTTCGCATGATCTTGATTATATGCCTCTGTTTATACAACCCAGGACTGTATTAGCTTTTTTGGCTGCTGCTGCACACTGCTGGCTCATATTCAAGTGACTGTTCACTAGGACTTCAAGGTCCCTCTCACAGTTGCTGTTTCTGAGCCAGGTCTCACCTAATCTGTACTTATACCTTTGGTTTTTCCTGCCTAAATGTAAAACTTTGCTTTTCTCTACATTGCTTTCCTCCACATTGTTGGATAGGGCTCATTATTCAAGTTTGTCAAGATCTTTTTGGATCCTGAGCTTGTCTTCTGGGGTGTTGGCTATTCCTGCCAGTTTAGTGTCATCTGCAAATTTGATGAGTTCTCCTTCTATTCCCTCATCTAGTTCACATTGTTCATCCTGGTACTCATCCTACTTTGTGGGAATCTTTCTTTGAATGTAAGATCCAAACTGTACCTAGCCCTTGAGATATGTCTGACCATTGAAGAATGGAGCCATTATCCCTCAGTGGTATTCTATGCTTGCTAGATTAGTGTGGTTCTTTTTGAATGCTCCATGCAGTGTTTTTAACAGGTAGGACTGTAGATCCCCAGCTCTTTCATCAACTTTTCTTCATGTTGTCCAATAGGTTTTTGGCTTCCTGAACTTGGTGCTTTGGGTTGGAAACCTATGGTTTGTCTTTAAAGAGACTGGATGGAGTGCCCCCTTCATGAAGCACCCACCTGCCCAGGAGAAGCAGCCAGCACCTGATACCTATGGAGATAGCTACAACCAAGCTCCAGGATATGGACAACAGGACACATATGGGCAGCAGAGTGGCTACCAGCCTGACTACAGCCAGCAAGGCTATGGTCAACAGGGAGAATACGGCCAGCAAGGTGGCTATGTCCAAAGCGGGCCCACTTCCTTTGCAAACCAGATGTAGGCGGGTGAGTCATGGAAACATATGAAGAAATGGAATCCTGTAGTCCTTGCAGATCAATCCCATGTTATATGTGATAGGACTTTGCATGATAGGTTATGGTTCTGCTAGCCCTGTGGAGAAGCAAGGACTGATCTAAGGCTCTGCAGCCTGACCCCTTTGATCAAAGGAAATCTTATTTGGCTTTCTTCCCTCGTGTTCAAATTTATAAGATTTCCACAGATATCGACAATGCCTGAGGACAGGCTTTTATCCGAAGTTCTCAGAAGATTGGATTCTACATATGCTACCACAATCTGCATTTTTTTGTCCTCTGGCAGGACCATGACATACATCTAGATGTATGCAAATACATGAATGTTTTTTTTTTAATTGAGCAGTGTCAGAAGTATACTGGCAGGTAAATTCTTCCATAGTTAATGCTGCCTATAAACGTTCCAGTTTCAGTAAATATAATGATAACAGTAGTTGAGTCCCAATTATCACACCTAATTAGAATATATATTTTCTTTATTCTAGATTTGCTTCAGCCCTAATTACCCCAGTTTTGTGACATGCCTGCCCAACGAGGCCAAGTCCTCACAAATCCAGTACCCTCACAGAGGACTATAAAATAAAATCCCCAGAACTTTTTAAACTCAAATAATTCTCAGAAGGAAAAAAACACAAAAACTGGTTTAAAACCAATTATGTTGGAAGTATAGAGCAGCGGTTCTCAACGTGTGCAACGCGCATGTGCGGCGCCACCCCCTGAGGGGACAAAATGGCGGATCGCCTTCTTTGGCGACCCCCGAAAAATGGTTGATCGACCCCAAATGGGGTCGCGACCCATAGGTTGAGAACCGCTGTATAGAGTCTATTTATATGTAGCATTATTTGGTACAGTTTTGTTATAGGGATGATATAAGCTACAGTATATATGTGCTCTGTAGTAGCAAAGAACATGCACTGTTTATCTGAGCTTGTCTGCATGCCCTGCCATGTATCCTACAAATAAATGTGTAAGTTTTGTAGACATATGTATTTGCTAAGTGGACATGGTGGCTCGTATAGTGATATCTATAGCTTCAGTTGATGTGAAGCAAGTAGTAATATCTGTACAGGTATGTGATAATTGGAAAATCTCTCCATTACTCATTGTGATATGTTAAGTCTTCATAACTGCCTTAGAATTAGCAGTGGTATACAAACTGATAGCGAGGGTCAACCTGTCTTATACACTGTAAGCCTCATGCAAATAAGAGACCAGCATTAGGTAAGCCAGGTAACACAGGAGGAGGAGTCCAATCCCAATAAAAAAATCGCAAGGAACATCTCTGTAGGAATCATTTATTGGCTTGGATTTTTGTTAATGTATTCGCAAACAAGCAGATTTTTTTTAAAAAAAGAGAAATAAAAGAAAGCAGGGGGTTTTCTTTACATCTGCAGAGAAAGGAGCCAATAATTGGAGGTGACAGAATGCTAGATAGTGATTCTGAGAGGATGCTAACAAGATTCGTATCTCTTCGATGAAGTACAAAAGGCGGCTCCAATGAGAGACAGGAAACCAATCCTAAGATTCAATATTATGCAGCATAGTTCTGCATAGTGATTAGTAGGGTCTGTGTGAAGGGTCAAAATCTGCAAAATGGCAGGCGTGGTGTTGTGATCAAAGCTCTTCCTCTTGTACTTGCATTAATACAGTATAGCACCTCTGTACAAAAGGTCCAGGGGTTTGATCATAACTCATTACTAGCATCATTCTGACACATACCGTATATGCCGGCGTATAAGACAACTTTCGCAAGGGTTAAAATCGGCGCTGAAGACGGGGGTCGTCTTATACGCCGAGTCATCTTATACGCCAGAAATACTGGTAGTTCCCAGCGTATAAGACGACATTCTAGGCATGCAACTCAGCGCCAAAGACGGGGGTCGTCTTATACGCTGGGTCGCCTTATACGTCGGCATATACGGTACATATACACACAGACTAAGGTTGTAACCTCAGGAGAGTTATGTCTATGCAGAACATTTTTAATAGTTCATACAGTGTGTTCAGCCACATTATCATGGACGGAGGCTTATCCTCTACATTTTTCATGCACTTCTTCTTCCCTATCGTTTTGTCCCATGTTTTAGCTTTCACAGCCCTGCATTTAGAGTTTGGGCTTGTTACCACAGATCCATGCCCAGAGAAGCCCCCCCCCCAAGTAGTGAAATAATTCAATCCATGACAGCATCTCACCGCAGTTGTCCTTAGGTGTTACCTACACTAAAAGAAAATTAGTGTGGGTGTGTTCCCACAACATAACTAAACCATAAACCATGAGTTATAATCTAAAATTAAACAAGGTGTTGCATGAATCAGATTACCTAAGATGCTGCTTATTTGGTTTAGCATGTTATATGAACACAGCCTTTGTAATATGTTAATTATGCTTAGTAATCACAGTCCAACTGCAGCAGTCCTGTCCCATTTCATATTTAATGGTACCCAGGGATAACTGAAAAGGTGTTAGCTAACCTGGTCACTAACCCAAGGGTGTTTAGCTTTAACCTTAAATTCATCTTACAAAGATGAAACTATCTCCACTTCATAGTTGGCCAGGTTCAATTTTCAGTCTCTGCACAGCCACATAAGGGGTGAAAAATGAGGCAAAAAGGTGAGAAATCAGTCAAAGAAAAAAAACCAATCATTTTACTATTCTTTATCTTTTTCCCCCCTCCTTCTTTGTTGTGTGAAATAAGGGGGGAATGACAGCTTCTCAGACACAGTAATGAGTCTACTGGTTGGGAGAAGAGAGATTGTGTTGCTGGTGCTGTGAGGACAGCAATTAGGAATAAAATCCCATCAGAAAGTTGTGGAAAAGAAGGGAATAAGATGAATATCTGGGGTGTGAGAACTGCATAGAGGAAATTTGCTAGTTTGCTTACTACATACATTAACCCAAATGTTTCAAGTTCCTCTTGAACCGCAAACTTCATTTTGCAGTACCCAATCTTACAAAATGTAGCTAAACTCTTTTTTCTTTCCAAGAGAAAAACATTTATGCTCTCCTCAGCTCGTAGAATGAAGAAAGCACTTATCTGTATCTATCTTCTAAGCAGTGATAGGCAATTTATGGCACTCTGGATGTTACTCAGACATAACTCCCAATATCCCTAGAAAGTATAGCCAGAGTAAGGACACTGGGACTAATGGTTGGGACCATGTGGATGGCAACTGATTGCTTACCCCTGATAACATCACATATTTTTATAATACCTGTAAGTATATAAACAAGAAAAAGTTCACTCTATATAATTATACAAAACTATATCACAATACTGTAAAAACCTTTTAATTATATTGTGTGCAATTCATATCATCTGAATAGCAACTCATTACCAGCCTAAGCTATATCAAGACCAGGATGCTAGAATTTCCCCAATTAAAAGTGGGCGCCCCATCACTGGAGATTTTTAAGAGGTTGGATAGTCACTTGTCTGTGAAATGGTATAGGTTCTCCTGCTTGAGCAGGGGGCTGGACTAGAAGACCTCCAAGGTCCCTTCCATCTCTATTCTATTCTAACAAAATTGCCCAACTGATCAGTTACTCATGCTGCATCTGGTTTGTTTTGCCCTGCTAGCAAATTCCCAGAAGAATTGTAGTTAACAAAGCATCTAATTTCTTCTTACTTCATACCTAACTGCAAGGCAAGCAACAGTTTATGGAAAAGAAAGAAAACCATTATCATTGATAAAACTGCATGTAGGAATTTGTACATTCCCTTTCCAATGATATTATCCCATTGAGTGTTTCTTCCAGCTTGGCACTTCCTCACTGTGTGTGTGTGTGTGTGTGTGTGTGTGTGTGTGTATGTGTGTGTTTTAAAGAGAAACTCTTTCTGCATCATATCTAATTTGGTCCTGAGAGTCAAAAGAGTAAGCACACATAATTTACAATAACAAAAATAAAATTGGCAGCGTATCAAGCTTTTTTAATAATAAAACCTAAATTGCATTAAGCTTCCTGCTCTCCCACTGGTAATTTTAAGACCATTGGGAAGAAAACCAAGTTTGTCTTCTTGGTTCTCAAGCCAGAGAAAGCCTTCCCTTTTGGCCAACTGAGGCATCCATCTCAGGCAGCACATTTCATCAGCCACATACGGACCGGAAATTCTACCTTTAATGCAAAATTATTGTATTTTAGTGCAAAGATAAAAAGGGGGTTTCAGAGTAGGATAATCAACTGTGAAACCTGTGATATGTATTTGTGTCCTTGGACAAGCAATTTGGCACAGGCATTATCACAGCCATGTTATCGTGACTTCTCACAACCCAATCCAGCCAACCAACCTAAGCAGCTTGGGCTGGAAAAATCCCAGCACTGTAACTTTCTTAACCATAAATTTCAGAGTTGATAATCCTGGGCCACTCTAAAACCTTTTCCAAAGCATTTATAAGAAAGAGGAGGAGGAGGAGGAACAGCATAATCGAGACTTGCAAGGTTTTGTTATTACAGCCCATCTCAATAAAAGTAATTCTAGTCTTTTGGTGGAGTTGATTTTCTCTTCTGGCATGCTTTGTGGGGCTGACAGGCAATGCCAGGCAGGCCCCATGGCAGACCCAGTGCTCATGGTCTCCTTGAGCCAAGAGAATTGCCAGAAGTGGAGATGGAGGATAATATCTGGCGGACTGCCATTGTTGTACTAGAGCAGTGGTTCTCAACCTGTGGGTCGGGACCCCATTTGGGGTCGAACGACCATTTCACGGGGGTCGCCAAACAACGCAGCCCACCATTTTTTCCCCCTTTTCCTTACCTGTGTTACTCCCTTTTATTCTATTGGCTTTTGAAAGCCAATAGAATAGACTCTCTTGAATAGAGTCAAAAGCCAATAGGAATTATCCAGGCTGTCTCTGCCCTGCTGAGCCCACCAGAAGTCCCATTCTGCAAACGGTGCTGCACCAGTTAAGTAGTCCTCAACTTACGACCGGTTGAGTAGTCCTCGACTTACGACCGGTTGGGGGTCGCGGCATTAAAAAGGTTGAGAACCACTGTACTAGAGAGAGGTGCCTCTTTCTGCTGATTTCTGCTAGGATCTGGCTAAGACGTCTGCCTTTCCTCTCTCTGCTATATCAGGATGTCCATCGATTGCAGGATGATGTCACTCTTTCTGTGTTCATTTGGCTCTTTTTTTCTTCCCTTTCTCTCCACAGGTTCCTACCCCCAAATAGAAGGCGTTGTGAGACGGAAGCAGCCATCCCATCCTGGCTCCCCATGTCCCTTGTGCGGGGGAAGGGAGGGCTGGTGGGTGCTCATACTGGGAGGTGGCTGGTGGAGCCCTCCCAACCCCCCAGGATGAATGTAGTTGTTTGTGCTGTTTATATATACATATATATTATATATATATGAGAAACTATAACTAGAGGTAGACCGCTCCCTCTCCCACTGCCCCAATGCCTCATGCATAACACACTTTCCCACATCATTGCCCTCCCCAGGACAGTTTCTTGATCCTTGGCCTCCCCAGGCCTATCCCCTACACTCTCCAGCCAAAATGGGTTGTCGGATCTCCTCCTGAAGTACCCTTTCTCTCGCCATTCACTTTGAACCCCAGCCCATGCTTTCTGTATTGTGGAAGGCACCCCAGGACTTCTGTTTTCCTTTGACCCTCATCTGATGCCAAGCTTTCCTCCCTCTCTCCTCTGCATGCCTCTAAGGTGGGCCGGAAAGGGATGAAATGGAGGGCAATTGGGTTGTTCCTTTGTGTGTGCAAATGCCAGGCAGGTTTGGGGTTTAAGAGGTTTGGTGGGTTCAATCCTCTAGCAGCACTTTAAAGTTGGTTTTTTTTTTTAACATACCCTCCATTCCTGATTTCACCCCATTGATCTATGGGGTCAGATAGAGGGCAACTATATTTGGGGGAAATTATCCCCTGCTTTCCTTCCAGGTGAAAATAACCTTGAGGAAGAGCCACAACCAAGGCAGCAGTTAGATAAGAGAAATCTGAGTCCAACGCAGGAATGGAATTTGAGGAAGCTTCTCAGACTTGATCCTCCCTAGTTCTCTCAAGGATAAAAGGCATAGCGCAGGGGTTCTCAACCTTGGCAACTTTAAGACTTGTGGACTTCAATTCCCAGAATTCCTCAGCCAGCAAATCTGGCTGAGGAATTCTGGAAGTTGAAGTCCACAAGTCTTAAAGTTGCCAAGGTTGAGAACCCCTGGCATAGCGGAAGGGAGGAGTGAAGGCACATTCAGAGTTGCAAGACTGATCTTAGCTCTTTGAGGTAGGCCAGACTTAAATACCGAAATCATGAACACTAAAGCTACTTTTATTGTAGGGTTACAGTAATAGAACCTTGCAACTCTGAATGTGCCTTCATCCCCCCCTACCCTGCCTTTATTGTTTATTAACTAGGGAGAGTAGAGTCTGAGGTGCTTTCCCAAATTCCAGTTTGGGCCTATATTTCTCGTATCCGACCATTGCCTTGGCTGCAGCTCTTCTTCCCCTTCCTCAGGGATATTCTCACAGCTCATTACATCAGGGGAGGAGGGATACCCAAATGGGGAAGCCTCAGAAAGATCCACAGCATTGGGGTGCCCATTATTGTTTTGAAGGGATGTGTATTGACCATCTCTTTAAAAGGCTTTAGCCCAGTTGGGAGGGAAAAGCAAAACGGGTGGGGGACTTGTTCCTAGTGAGCTGTTGCACCAGGGGTCTACAGTTAAGGGATGGGGAGATTGTGGGGGAGGCTTCCACTATCCATCCATCCATCCTTTCCCCATGCTTTTCCTAATTTGCATTCTTCTTTCTCTCTTGTGATTTCTCTCTCTCTTTCTTTCTCTTTCTCTCTCCCCCCTAAAACCTGTATTTGAGATATGGTAATTTAATCCATCCAGATACGATTCTTATAATCAGGATGGTTAACCGCTGAACCTTTTCAATCACCAGGGCTATCCCCAGTGTGGTTCACCTAGAAGCCTCCATTCATGATAGATGTATCAAGCAGTCCTCAGGCTTCACAAGCCAATGAGACCTGCATGGTGGCATGTCCCAAGAGCCCACTCTATGCAGGACATCCATCAGCTGCCATGCTCTCCGCAATCGTCACAGTGGTCCAAAATTACACAAGCCCAAGGGTGAGACAGCAATGAGCCATCTCTGAGCTCTGTGGTTTTCAGAGAACTGCGCCCTTGCTAGATGTACCACATTCTCACACAAATTCCTGAAGGCAGGAATCTGTAGGTCAAATGGAGGATCTAATCAACTGCAAACATGCTGCGTGTGAAATCAATTCTGATCGATACAGCCTTGTACAATATGATCTGGAGTGCTTGGTATCAGGTAGTAGCTTGTAGCATAATAAACAAAGTTGATGCCCTGTGAGCTTTTTTCCAAATAAACATGCATAATACTATTCAGATTCTTTCTCTTCCACTTGCTCTTAAATTCTCTAATTCATTCTGCTAATCTGAGCCCATTATCACTGACTTCTCCCTTTTCCTTAGCCCTGTTACTGTTTCTCAAATTTATTCACCATGTTTACATTGATCTCACTTACTCATTTTTCCCCCTCTAGACCATCCCCTAATTCTCCTCTCTCCTCTTTTCTGCCTTTAAAACCTCTGGCTTCCAACTGCTCCACTTTCCATACCAGCCAAAGTTTCCCCCTTCAGCCCAGACCCCTTCATTCTCCCCCTCCCCAACCCCAGTGGCACTCTGACTATATATTACTCAGTGTCTGTGTATCTGATTGTGCCGTAATTGTGCGTTTCGGTTTGTCCGGCTCTTTGCCCCGGTCGATATTGTGTGATTTTTTCTTCCATCTTTAAATGACAAAAAAAAACAAAACACACCAACCAACAAGAACAGCAACAAAACTTCAGAAAAATATGCATTATTCCCCCGAAATGCCCCTTATTCCCCCCAAAATTATAGAAAAGGATAAAAACCAAATAAAAACAGAAATAAAATATATTTAAAAATGTTTGACGTGTCTTTATTTGATGTTTTAATCATGCTGCCTATCTACATATTTTAGTCGTGCATCTTTCTGAGAAAAATGCATAATCCAGGAATGCGGTGTTTTCTAACCACTTCACATCAATTCAGAAAAAAAGGAGTCATCTGCCATTGATTGGAGCCACAGAATTTTTCTTAGCCCCTTATAAACATGGCCTTTCCTTTGCTTAGTAGTTTGCTTCTTAGCATATTAACTAATTTGGGAAGGAAAATTATGGGATGAACAGGAACTTAATATGATTGCAAAGGGCCAGAGATGGTGCAACCAGTCAGACCTGATGTTTTGCTCAGGGTAAGTTAATGTAGGCCACGGATGTCAAACTCGCCACGTCACGTGACGTGTCGCAACATATCGCAGCTTTTTTTGCATTGCCGGAGCTGGGGTGGGCACAGCCTCCATATGATGCAACCGGCAGTTTGACACCCCTGATGACTAGGCTGAACCCAAGGGAAGGGTCAAACACATCATCAGTCCGCGCCCACAACAGATCTAAGTCCAGCCTACATTCAATTCCTTATCTACCACCCAATTGCTTTGACACAGTTAGTAGTATAGATTCTTGTAAAGATCTTAAGCTTACAATAAATCTTTATACCCATTTGAACTGCCTGGATCTCCCGATTTCCCTGACGCTTGACAGTTAATCTGTAGAAATTAATGAGGGGAACGAGCATAGAACTATCACCTCACTGAAAAATAAATGGGATATTATATGGGAAATATATTCAGGTGCCCTATGGCACATTACACACACGTTTTAAATGAATCTCTGCTTATGATATATAAAATGGCTAACTACAGATAGTCCTCGACTTATGTCCACAATTGAGCCCAAAATTTCTATTGTTATGCAAGACAGACATTAAGTGAGTTTTGCCCCATTTTGTGACTTTTCTTGTTACAATTGCTAAGTGAATTGCTGCAGATGTTAAGTTAGTAACACAATTGTTAAGTGAATCTGGCTTTCTCCTTGATTTCGTTTGTCAGGTCACAAAAGGTGATCACATGACTCCAAGACATTTTGCAATCATCATAAATATGAGTCAGTTGCCAGGTGTCTGAATTTTGATCACATAACCATGGGAATGCTACAATGGTTGTAAATGTGAAAAACGGTCATAAGTCACTTTTTTCAGAGCCATTGCAACTTAGGTATGGACTTTAAACAAACTGTTGTAACTTGAAGACTACCTGTGTGTACTTAGAGGCTGTCAGTAATTAACTGGCTGACTACCTATTATTAAGGTAGCAATCAAATAAGAAAAATAAACAAGCCCAAGGAAATACAGGTAGTCCTTGACTTACAACCAGTCCTTGTTAAGCGAAGTATTTGTTAATCTAGTCACACCTAATCTTATGACCTTTTTCATTAGTTGTTAAATGAATCATGTGGTCAATAGGTGAATCCAGCTTCTCCCACTGACTTTGCTTGTCAGAAGCCAGCTGGGAAGGTGGCAAATGGTGATTGCATGACACCCCCCTCTGGGACCCTGCAACCGTTGTAAATACGTGCTGTTTGCCAAGCACCCAAATTTTGATTAAGTGACCATGTTAAGAACAGTTAAGTGTGAGGACTGATTATAAGCCACTTTTTTCAGTGCTGATATAACTTCAAAATGTCACTAAACAAATGATTGTAAGTCAAGGACTACCTGTAAGGCATTTTTTGCATCTTTCTGACCAAAGGACTTTCAACACTTTGTATGTTCTCCTTTTTGTTGCATAGTTTTGTCACACTTAGAGCAACCTTAGAGATTGTAAGTCAAGGACTGATGTATAAGGAAAAGCAGTGAAAGATCCCCAGAGTAAACAAGATCTTTAAAGCTTTGGCATTTCAGAGACAAAAGTTCACGGCTCTGGTTCTGGAAAATGGCACTCAGCCGAGATACCGTTCCTGACTAGTATGTCCGTATCATGAGTGGCAAGCCCTACCCTGTTGGTTCACAAGAGAAACATCCTCAAAAGCTTCCCTTGTGTCATGCAGAAAAGATGTTGAGAAAATAATTCTCAATGTGGTGGATTCCCCAAATGTAACGCATGTTGTACACTTGTCCTGGAGGACATTTTATTAGAAGGAAGCCTTGTTATAACTGGTAAAATAGCATGTGAGAATAGGTACATTTCAGGAACATGGTCCCATTTTAAATTGTTTCCTTCTTCCTAGTGTGGCTTCTCTATATTTGTTGATCATTCAGAGATCAATTTCATAAAACCGTTTTTTCTTTAGGTAAACACACACAGATTCATTATTCAAATGACAACAGGGATATTTAAGTTAACTTAAAGTATTTTATTGGATAAAAAGGAACTTCTCAAGTGATTTTAGGGAATGAAGAAAAAAGGTTTGGCAAGCACGACTGTATTATATTAAGAAAACTCCATACACAAGTTTACTTGAAATATTTTTACTTTTCATTCACATATTCTCTCCAGCAGTTTGTACATTAAAAACATTAAAGTACCACATGCAATTTTCATACTACACAATAATTCTAAAAAATTACCAATGTTTGAGATACGTAGTCAAACAAACCCTTAAATTAACTAGAAAATTGATAATTCATTTCAAAACCCATAGATTGTTATCCATCCAGATTCATCCACATATTAAATCAAATTCTATTAAAAAGTCAGAACAAATTGGAGTCTTACTGTATAATTTGAGGAAAGCTTCACAGATGAAGAGCCAATAATTTTTTCCCCTCCATGGTGTATAATTCAATATATGATAGGCCCACAGTTAAAAAGAAGGCAACTGTGCATGATTTTGGGGCCAATTTATTGTATGAGCTTTAATTTAATCAATTTTTAAAAATCACATATTTGTTTATAATAAAATCAGCTGGAAAAATCATTCCTACTGATATCTTAAGCAGCATCCAAGGAGGTATATCCCACCCATGTGGAGAAGGTGGGCAAAGGAGCTGGATCTTCCAGCATGAAAGAGGGAGAAAAGGTTCTTTTCTTTTTTTTAAAAAAAAAGTACATTTTAGTTGTAAAAAAACTGTGGCCAATTAATTAGGGGACAGTCTTAAATTAACCGATTCACTGATTGTACCTTTCACTCTGACCTTTTTTACATAACTGTGCATGTATCAAGTAAAAGAGGCTTTAAAAACGAGAAAAATGAGAGAATAAGAAAACAGTTCATCAAATGTAACTGATAATCAAGAAGTAAACAAATAAGCAACAGGAAGTACTGCCTAAAATAACATTGCTGACAGGATTTTTTTTTTCACAAGTTATTGCAAGCATGTGGGAGTTTAAATAAGTAGTGTGCTAGGAAACCACTTCCTTGGGATCTCTCTAATTGCCAAAAGTATTTAGAAATGCTACTTCCATATTCATCAATATTTATACATCACAATGCTAAACACCATGAGTAAAAAGCAGAATATTAAGGCCTTCTGATGGCAATGGTGGCTGAAATAAATATAAAATTCAAATTTGGTCTCACCCACAAACTTATTAAAACCACAATCCCATTCAAAAAATAAACTGTTCAGTTCAAGATGGTAAACTAAGGTGGCTTTTGCTATCCAGTACCAATCTGATGTCTTCCAGATATTTGTAAAGGTTTCTTTACTAATATACGACATGCAGTGATTGAGGAACAGGCACTTATAACAAACCTTACTTCAGGATACATTAGGAGAAAAAAAGTTGGCATTTGTACCCAGAACAAATGTAAACAATCCAAATCCTCAAAATCTGAGGCTCTTTAGTGGAAAGACTGTTGGCAACACACCTACATTTTAAATGTAATTCTCTATAACAACTATCCCAATTTAACTTAGCTTCAGTGAATAATGCAACTCTAGTGGCAGAGTTG